CAGGTTATTTCTTTAGCCTTTTCTTCCAGTAATCAGCAAGGAAACTTAAGCAATAAATTGATGAAAATACTATCAAAGTATTCATAAACAATTATTTTTCATAAGAATTCTAGGACTTTTCAGGACTATATGTATCCTGCAGTCTTCTATAACTTTAACAGAAAGAACACTTAGCATCTCACCATCACAGTACTAACAACATGTTTTAATGTCATTTATAACTTGTTACAATCCATGTCTTCAGCTGTTATCCAGCATGGATGAATTCTCCAACTACTAGAAAGCTGTGGATAATAAAATATCATGCAACATTTTATGTGTGATATTTAGATTTTATATAGATTTTATATAAATACTTTGAGAGAAAATGAAAGTTAGTGTTTATTTAGGTCAGTTATACACAATATAAAAACATATCTGTAAAAAAATTTTACTTTTCATTTTTTTTCATTTGAAATAAATATTACTTCTCAAATGTTTTGAAGAAAACAAATTAACAATTTTCATAACCTTCTAACATAAGTCAAATTGAAAAATTCTTTTTGTGATTCAAAGCAGCTGGCCAATTTGCCCTGAAACCATGACCAAATTATAATGTACCAGAGTGAATCACCTTTATAAAGGAAGGGTCAACTCTCATGACGTGTACATCAATATTCAAAATAAATCTACCATTTCCCACTAACATCTTTCAAAATGAAATTATCAGGATTCTTTTATTAAAACATTTGTGGTAAATATTTACCCAATTTAATTAAAAACAAATTTAAGACAAACTTAAAACAGTGTAAAATATTTTAGAAACTTCTTAGCAATCAAATTTCTTTCTTTCTTTTTTTACTTTTTGTGTTATAACACTTGTCATTTTATAATAATACAGATACCAATGAGTCAATAAGTCCATAGCCTAATGAAACAAAAGGATTTGTTTAAAAAACAACAAATATTTATTTTTAAAAATAATCTCTTTCTTTGCTGATGTACTTAACATGATACATATCTATATATCACTTAGATGAAATGTTTGATCTAAGTGATATATGGAGATATTTTTATTGTATAATGTTATACAATGAAAATCTCAGATCAAAATTTAGTTAATAACTGTGTCAAGCTACTAAACATATTGATTCACTCTCATAATTTAATATGGAAACCTATATCATTGTTTGTAATCTATTTTGGTTGTATACATTCTTTTTCCTTTCCTGTTCCTATTTCTCTTTAACATCAATTAATTTCCCCCTCTTACTGTTACCATTTAATCTCCACTTTTGCTTACAATCTTATTTTCTTTTATTTCCTTCCACTTTCAAGCACCAAGCTTTGTGGTTAAAAAATAGAATAATAGAAATCTGAGTCTACATCCCAAACAGCAGATCAGAAAGGCTCATTATCACAGTGAAGACAATTTCTCAATTCCTGGAGGTCAAATGAGTGCCAACTCCATTACTAACTGCTGAAAGTGGCAAATTAGCTTTAAGAGCTTTTTAAAGTTGAGAAATACATCAAAATGTTTGCAAAACATTACATTTGCTCATTTGTATTTTGGATGAAATTTAATTTTTTTTTTCTTTAATCTATCAACCTAATTTCTCAATATATCTATACAGTAGTGAGTATTCATTTATTCAAATCTATAGTTATACTATTAAAAGAAAGTTGTCCAGTCTTAATAATCATCTGTTAAAAATGTCTGTTCTCAGTTCCTTTTAAGCAATTTTGGCTTTAAATTAAGATTTAGAGTAATAGAGAGGTATCTGTAAAATCTAAAATTGCAAATTCCAAGTTGATGAAGCCTATAGTCATAATCTCATTTAAGAAACAAAAGTAGGGCAAAATCTGTCCTTCTACATCACCTTATTATCTCTCTCACTAAGCATACCTATCAACTTGTAACTTTTGACACCTTTTACCTGAGAACTTGTAAAAAGACAGTATTAGATCTTCCTATCCCATTTGTAATAATTTTAAGATAAGGTTTCAAAACAGATAAACTTTATTGTTTTTAGTTCATACTTCAGGAAATTAGTTTGTATTATGCATTGTTCTGCTTAATCTACATTTCAAAATGTCCTGTAGTGAATATATTATCTTTCTTTTTCTTCTTTTTCATTCTGCTTCTCCCTCTTCCCTTCCCACCTTCGTGTCAGACATGATCATCTTTTTTCTCTTTCTTTCTTACTTCAGAATATATTATCTCTTTTTTTTTCTTCTTTTCATTTTATTTCTCCCTCTTCCCTTCCCACCTTCATACCAGTTATGACTATCTTTTTTTCGCTTTCCTTCTTACTTCATATCATCTTAGTCAGGGACATCTACACCTTTCTCTAGTTTTACTCTCTTCTCACTGTCATGTCAGCCATGATCATCTTTTTTCTTTTCTTTCTTTCTTCCAGCTATGAATATGTGGAGAAGTGCCGGAGGGTTCTTAGTATTATTTATCAGAAACTTCAGAAATAAACAGAATCAAAAGTATAAATAAATAATATATGTTTATTTATTTCATTTTGATTGGAGTGAGTCCTTTGTAATTCGGATTGGCAAAAGCCCATTTGGTTTGGTAATTGATAGTTTACAAGTCGAACTTTGATTGCAGTCAAGAGTGTGTTTACTTTGGAAACTTGTAGCTGATTTCAATCTGCTGTTTTCTAGGCCCTCAGAAAGGTGGAAAAATTTCTTAAGCAGATGACTGCTTAACTTTTTCACATGATATGCTGAGCTGGTTTCTCTGGTGGTCCCTTCTCCATTTCTGTCTCTTGTCTGTCTGTTTATATCCCTTAAGTTGGGCTCCAGACTACTGGCACAAAGCTTGGTTTTGACTGACATCAAAAGTCTCTTTATTTTAATTTTTGGATTGGCCAAAATTCTTTTATTTTCCAGTGTTCTTTCTTTTTCATTTTTATAGTGGAAGTTATACATGGAGCCTCTCTTATTTTGGTAGATTTCTAGTCACAATGGCTAAACTCTGGTCCAGCAAACTTCTGCTGTTTTTCTGCTGTGTTCAGTCATTTCTTCTTCTTCTTCTTCTTCTTTTTATTTGTGGGCTGAAAGAGAAGTATATAGAGAGAAGGGTAGATAGAGAGACAGAGAGAGAAAGAGATATGGGTTTTAAAGGAAATTATTTTAATTTGAATTCTTTTTTTTTTTTTTGTTTATATATTATTTTCATATTTTATTTATATTTATTTATTTATCTGAGCTCACTACAAATATATTTCTGGAATTTTTTCTTTCCAGCATCATGTCAACCATAACTATTATCTTTCTTTTCTTTCTTCCTTTTTCCTCTTCCCATCATCATCTCAGGCATGAACATTATTTCTCTTTCTTTCTTGCTTTTTTTTCTCCCTACTGTCATCTCAGATAAGACTATCTTTTCTATTTCTTTCATTATTCTTTATCTTCCCATCATCATCACATCCTTGGCTATTTTTTTATCATTTTTTTCTTGCTTTGTTTTCTTCCTGTTATATTTTCAGCCACAAATCTCTTCTTATTTTTCTCCCTTCCTGCTTTCTTTCTTTCCATCATATCGTTAGCCATGACAATCTTCTCATTCATTCATCTCTTCCTACCAACATCTCTGCCATGACTTTCTTTCTTTCTTTCTTTCTTTCTTTCTTTCTTTCTTTCTTTATTTATTTATTTTCCCACTATCATTATAATATATAATCAACAAGAAGGTTGTTGAGCACCTATATTATAGTTCCTGAGTGACATGCAGTAAAGGTTTTGATTGGCACAATCCACTGCTGATGTCCTAACTACAATTACTCACAGAATCAGTGAGATACTAAGCAACAAATACACTCCAAGGACCATGGCATTAGATATTTTGAGGCCTTTGACAAGGTGTGGCACAAAGGATTGTTGTTCAAGCTCTTTAGCTATGGAATCACTGGAAGTGTCTTCTCAGTAATAAAGTCCTAAGTCATAACTGTTAGGTCTCTGAAATTAGTTGTTAACAGCCAGTCCTCTGAGGCCCTAGTGATCAATGCAGGCATCTCCCAGCTGTCACTTCTTGGATCAACCCTCTTTTTACATTACATAAATGATTTGTCTAAGACTATACTTGGATCATTTGTGAATATCTATGCCAATGACATAACAATATATGCATGCACCTCCAAAACTCATTATGACCAGTGATTGACAGCTAATTTCTCATCTGATCTAGCTCTAACATCTCAGTGGGGTAAAACTGGTTGGTTACGTTCAATGCCTTGAAAGCCAAGCTAGTTATATTCTATCCTTACCAATTGGACCCCGAACCACCACCAGGCACAATGAATGATTTTCTATTCAGGAGGCCTCATGCCTTGAGCGACTGTTGGGACTTCCAGACCTCAAGTTGGACTCATACATATAATCCATCACTAAAGAAAAAATAGTCAGTTCCCTGTACCACTCCAGTAAGTACCTGACTCCTTGTACTATTCTCTACCTTTACAAGAGCCAGATCAGGACTGAAATGGAATACTTCTGACATATTTGGGCAGGAGCTGCCCAGTCCTCACTTTCCAGTCTCATTAGTCCAAAAGTGTCTCCACATTTTTGTGGGTGACAAATTATTTTCCACCCTGAAACCCCTTTCTCACAGACAGAAAGTAACATACTCACTGCTCTATTGCTGCTTAAATGGAAAGTGCTTGGATAAACTGCATTCCTTGGTTCTGCCAGTTCTAACCCTCATGGCTTGGACTCGTCATACCACTCACATTGTAGAAAACCACTCTCATTCCCTCCATGTTCTATTGGTGAGAATTAAGTTCCATTTGAGCAGCTTCTTCCTGCAAACTACTGGTCTTTGGAATCGACCCAAGAGGATGTTTCCCCAATCACTAAAATCTTAACCTGTTCAAGTCAAGGGTTAACTGCTATCTTCCCCACCTATCCACATAAACTGTACCTTCTACTCTGTAACTCTCTACTTTGAGTGTCCCCAGGCCTTGTATAGGATGAATCGCAATGTAAAAAAAAACATTACAGCCATCACTATGTTTGCATCACTTTCTTCTCTTCGTATCATCATCTCAAATACAACTCTCTATGTCTTTTTCTTGCTTTCTCCTCTTCCTGCTAACATCTTAGCCATGGTAATATTTTTCTTTTCCTTGCTTTCTCCTCTTCCTGCTAACATCTTAGCCATGGCAATATTTTTCTTTTCTTTGCTTTCTCCTCTTCCTGCTAACATCTTAGCCATAGTCATATTTCTCTTTTCCTTGCTTTCTTTCTTTCCCCATCATCATCTCAGCAATAATCTTTTTATTTCTTGCTTTCTTTTTTCTCAACATCACATCAGCCATAACTATCTTTTATTTTATTTTTTCCTTTCTTCTCTTCACACCATCATTTCAGCCATAATTAGCTTTCTTTTCTACACATTCAGCTATGACGATCTGCTTCTCTTTCTCTCTTGTTTTGTTTTTTTCCCACTATTATCTCAAGCATGACCATCTTATTTTTTCTTGTTTTCTTTTCTTGCCACTCAGTCATGACCATCTTTTTTCAGCCATGACTAATCATCATTTCTTTCATTCACTTCTCTTGTTTTTTTGGATTTCTTCTCTTCTCACTATCATCCCAGATTTGACTATTTTTCCTCTTTCTTGCTTCATTATTTTCCCACCATAATATCTGACATGAGTTTTCTCTCTCTCTGCCATGATTATTTTTTTCAGTTTTTTACTTTCTTCATCATCTCAACCATAACTGTATCTTTCTTGCATTCTTATCTTATTATCATCTCACCTGTAACCATATTTTTCGCTTTTTCCTTGTTTTCTTCTCTCCTCATCGTCATTTTAACAATCCTGTCTTTTCTCTTTCCTCTCTTTTTCTTCTTTTCCTATAATCATCTTGGCCATGAGTGTTTTCTGTTTTTTACTTGCTTACACTTTTCGCCATCATTTCAGCCATGACTATCCTTTTCTTTTTCTTTCATCCTTTGTTCTTTTTCTATAATCATTTTGGCCATGAGTGTCTTTTTCACTTTCTTTCTCACTTTGTTATATCAGCCATGACTATCTTTTTTTTTGTTCTTGCTTTTTACTCTTCCAATCATAATTTTTTATATAACTCTCTTCCAATCATTATTGTAGCTATGATTATTGTTTTCTCTTTATTGTTTGCCTTTTCTCTTTACATCCTCATATCAGAGATAAGTATCTATTTCTGTTTCTTTTTTTTTTTGCTTTCTTCTCATCTCTGTCATGATTATCTTCTATTTCTTTTTTTCTTTCTTCTGTTACCATCAAATTATCAACCATGACCATCTTTTTCTCATTATTTCTTAGTTTCTTCTTTGCCCACTATCATATCAGCCAGAACCATAATTTTGTGTTTCTTTCTTGCTTTCTGCTCTCATCATCATCATCATCATCATCATAAACATGACTATCTTCCTCTCTTTCTTGCTTACTTTCTTCCCTCCCACTAATGTCTTTACTATACTGATCTTTCTTTCTTGCATTTCATTTCAGCCATTTTTTTTTTCTTTTTTGTTCTGGTTCTCTTCCCATCATCTCTTCACAACATATCAGCCATGACTATCTTGTTTTTGTTTCTTGCTTTCTACTCTTCACACCATAACTCAGCCATATCTATCGCTTTGTCTTTCTTGCTTTCTTCTCTTCTATCAATTATATCAGCCATAAGTAACTTCTCTTTCTTTCTCGTATTATTCTCTTCCCATCATCATCTCAACCATGACTTTTCTTCTTTCATTCATTACATCAACCATAAATATCTTCTGTTTCTTTTTTTTATGTCTCCTCTTTGCTCCATCATCTCAGCCATGACTACATTTTTCACTGTATTTCTTGCATTCTTCTCTTCCCACCAACATCTCAACCATGACCATTTTTTGCTATTTCTCTCTTGCTTTATTCTCTTCCCATCATTAGGTCAGCCATGACAATCTTTTTTTTTCTTTCAACAATCAAGTAACTATGTCTTTCTTTCATACCTTCTTCTCTTCCCACTAATGTGTAGCCATGACTATTTGTTCCATTTCTTTATTGTTTTTTCTCTTCCTGTCATCATCTCAGCTATGATCTTTTCTAATTTTTCTTGCCTTCTTCTTTTCCCATGCTGGTCTTAGTCATGAAATTTTGTAATATTTCTCTCTTGCTTGCTTTCTTCTCCTTCTTCTTATCCTCCTCCTCTCCCTCCTTCATGATTTTTCCCTTTATTTTCTTCATACCATCATCTCTTTTTATCTTTCTTTCTTACTTTCTTATCTTCCCATTATCATATCAGCCATGGCTAACTTTTCCTCTCTTTCTTTTTTGTTTTTGATTTCTTTCTCCTTCCATCATTATGTCAGCCATGTCTGTCTTTTCTTTCTTCCTTGATTTCTTCTCTTTTCTTTTCATTCGGATTCACTTTCTTCTCTTACCACCTTCATCGTAGCCATAACTATCTTTCCCTCTTTCTTTCTTAATTTCTTCTCTTCACACTGTCATCTTAACCATGACTACTTTTTTCTTTTTCTTTTTTTCTTGCACTGATTTACTGTAATCTCATAGTTGGTAATTTTTTTAGTTAACTTCATATTGTAAATATATATATATATTTTAAAACTTTTAATAACTTGGCTTTGTGAGACTATTAAAATTTATAACAAAAGGCCTACATTATGTAATTTCTTGATCACTATGAAAAACTACTTTCAAATTCACTTGGTGGGGAGACTAAATATTGCTCCTCTTTAGCATAACACCCGACATTTTTACTGCAGAAACCCATACCTCTTCCTTCAGGAATTCGATAGATATTCTTGTCATACAATAGAATTAGTTTGAATTGGAAGTGTCAGTTAATGATTTTTCGCCATGATTTATGTTTCTTTAGTATATTTGTTTTTCATATAATCAAAAATATTACCAATATAAGAAGAAAAAAGAAGAAAAACAATAATATAATGTCTGATGAAGAAAAAAATTACTTCATGTCTTCTTCTTCTTCCTCCTCCTCTTCTCCTCTTTCTTCACAATTGTTTTTTTTTTTTTTTGGTCCCCCTTCTGCCTCTTGCTCTGCTGTCTACACACTGCTCTCTAACCTAAATTTAAAGCTCTTCTTTCTTTCCTTTTATACTTCCTGCACCCTACTTTCAAGGATATATCTGTAAATCATGTCTACAGGTTTCTAAGAGTCCACAAAAGGACAGTTTTATTTATTCTATAGAGCTAGGCATTTAACATTATCTTAAAAAAAAATGTAAAAAATCTCTGGAAATTATATTCACGTTCATCTTTGTCAGAGTAAATGAATATTTGTGTATATGCATACTAAAATTTTAAAAAGTTCTTCATGCAGATTTCTAGTGACTTAAAGCATATGCTTATTTAATTTTCTTTTTTCAATTGGTCATTTCAATTTTAAAACTAAGTTAAAAAAGTACCAATGACAAGGGAATATATAAAAAGTCAAACACCAACGAGAACATTATGAAAATGTTCATAACTGGGAACATTATTCTAAAAGTCAACAACCTTTCTTCATGTATTTATCTGCAAAAACATATGATGTATTTTTGTCTTTTTGTCAGAAGATGTTATCTGCCACGACTGGTAACCTGACAAGTAAAAAGAAAACAATTTCATCTTTAGACATAGTTGGACATTATCTAAAGATATGCTATATATGCAAATTTTTCTTCTGGATTTGAAACATAAGAGATAGATGCAAACTTTTGACCTTTGCCAAACACCTCTGAATGTTTTAGATTTTATTGTCCATTTATTCAATATAAATGGATAGAACTTATTTTTGTCACCTCCTCTCTTTTAGTTGTTAGACCTAAACAAAAGTAATCACTAACATCTATAGTGTTTAAGTAAAAAATGATGTATTTTATTGCCTTACATCTCACCTTATAATCTCTCTCTCTCTCTCTCTCTCTCTCTCTCCCTCATTCACCCACTCACTCACATGGTGGGGAAAAATCAAAGAAGTTAAATAATATTTAACTTATTTAATCTATATTAATAAATAAAAGTTATTCAATTTATACTAACAGATAATGTTTTAATAAAGTAAATGTTTATTAAATATTATTTGAATTATTTTAAATTAAATAAGACTCATCAGTTTGTTATTTGTTAATATATTATTTCATTGCTATAAATTAAATATGACTTATTTTATTAAGATATATTAAATAAATTAAAATATTGCCTATATCAAATAAAAATAGTACATTTTTTCCTACCCAGAAGCCAAAGTTATTAATTTACTTCCGTGACTTTTTTCTGGTCACCCTGGGATCAACATCCAATCTTATTAGCTTACATTTTTCTTCTTTTCAGTAAAATATTTACCCCTCTTCCTCTTTGTAACTTTTATCTTATTCTTTTCCTCTCTTTTTTGACACTTCTTTTTCTTTCTTCCTTTCTTCTTCTTAAGCTATATTCCTTCTACCCCACATCTTAATTTCACCATTTGTTCCCTCTCTCTCATATTCTCAGTAATGTCCATACTTTTCTCTTTGTTTTTTTTTATTTGTTACATTCTCTTTTTTCCTTTTCTTTCTTTTGTATCTCTTGATTCGTTTACCTCTTCTTTTTCCACTTAACTTGTCCTCATGGATATCTCTCCCTTTTTAATAAACCACTCCTTTCTACCTATCTCTCTGATATTTGTTTTTACTTTGATCGTTTTATTTAATCTGATATTGTCAACTCCCTATCTGTTTTGTAATCTTTCCAGATGGTTTTTTTTCTCTCTCGTGATCTTCACTCATCTAGATTTCCCTCCTTTACTTCTCACTCCTCTCTTTTTCCATTAAAATATTTATCTATTTCACCTTTTTGAACCACTGGCACCCATTCTTCTTTCTCTATACATATTTTGATCTTTCAGTCTTTCTTTCTCTATCATTCCTTGCTTCTCTGTCTCTGTTTTCTTTTCTATTTTCTATTACTCCCCAGTCCTCTAGTATTTTCATTTCTCTCACTCCCTCTAATACTATTCTTCTCCACTCTTGCTATCTCCTCTGCTCTTTCTCTTCATTTTCCCTTTAATCCCATTTTCCTCCTCTTTTTGTATCATAACCCATCCCTGTATATTTCTATTACTCTTTGCCTCCTTCTTCTTTCTATCTTCCTTTTCACTTTGTCACTATTTTCTCCTTCTCATGATGTCAGCTTATCTCTGTCAACAGAATTTCCTTTCTTTTTCATGCTTGTATAAAAAAAAGTATTTTTTTTTTCTCTTTGTAATTATTTTTTTCCTTTGCACATTCTTCATTTTATTCTTTTTATTTAATTTATTCTTCCCATTCTTATTCTCTCCCATTCACCATCCAATTTTAAACACTCATGGCTTTTAACATTTCTTTTACATGTTTTCTCATGAAATTTTTCTAATTTTTGTATATATTCTCTTTGGTTACAGTGACAATATCTAACATTTTATCATTTGGAATATTTCTTCATATTCTTTTGCATACATACACACACACACACACACACACACACACACACATATATATGTAGGTGTTTTAAAAAAATATTTAGAAGTGTATATATGAATGGATTTATTCAAGATTTTATATTTTTTGAATATATACTTAAATAAATTGATTCATATACAAATGTAAGAATAAACATTTATATATAACCGAATAGCTTTATACTTCTATGTAATCATAGTTAATATATTTAAACATACAAAAATTTGTTCATATAAAATATTATGTAAATCTACTTATCTATGTTTATTTTTTATGTCTCTCTCTCTCATATATATATATATATATATATATATACTTAAATGTTATTTTTTAGTGGATACCCATGTTTGAGTAGATGTACTGTTTATTTATTAAACCATATATATTTATTTATTTATTGAATGTTCAGATTGTTAGAGGAAATAAATAAATAAATATAGTGTTTAATAAATAAATGGAGTGTCTATACAAATATGGGTATCCACTAATAATTTTTAAATAATATAATCTGTTGGATTAATAAATTTTAAAAATTCATTACTTCTTTAGAAATACACACACACACACACACACAAGATAAAACTATAGTTTATGGTATGCTATATTTATGGATAAAAGATATATTGGAGATAGAGCATATATATATATATATATATATATATATATATATATATATATATATATATATATATATATATATTCAATTTATATATTTGTCTAATATTACATGTACACAAAAAAAATGTGAATGGAGAAAAATGAACCTTAAAAAAAGATTGCTGATATCATATACAAACAACCTTTCTCTCTACTGATATATATATACACATATATTAAATACATTAATACATATATTATAAATACTGTTGTCATAAAATGATTACAACATTGTTTTGGATCTTGGGAGAAACACACATGCATGTGTGTTTTATGAAATGATAGAATGTAATTACAGGTCTTCTAATTAATGTATATGTGTTGTAAAATCTGACATCAAGAAGTTGATATTTTATTTAAGATTGCCATGGTTCTTGCAGATGGCAACCATAAACCGTGTCAAACACTCTCTGAAACAGGAGAAAAAAAATTAAATGGTAATAAAGAAATTATGAATGGTGAATTTTAAAGCTTTCCCAAGTGAACCACATTGTAAGCAGAGCATACACCTGCAAGGTCATTAGATGTGCCCAGTATTTAGAAAACCTTCAGGGATTTGCATTGATTTGATATATATCAACAAAGTTCTGGGCAGAAATATAATTCCCACATGTATGTATTTGTAATTTCTCTCTCTCTCACTCCCTTTCTCTCTCTCTTTCTCCCTATATATATATATATATATATATATATATATATATATATATATATATATATATAATATAATGTACAGATCAATATATGTATGTATATAAAGATTGAATTTAAACATGGAATGAAAGTTACCTTATATATATTAAATACAAATAGATAGGTATTATACTTTGATCATAGGAATGTTTTATTTTTTCTATCACAAACATATGTGTGTGCTTGTGTATTCAAACATTTCTCTCTTTATATAAATTATGTACTCCCATATATAAAATAAATAATATATATATATATATATATATATATATATATATATATATATATGACAGAGACATTTGTAAATATAACTATATATATGTATGTATATTTTCTTTATGCAAGTAATCACCATTTTTCACAAGTATTATCAGATTTGATATAAGAATATTTATAGGATATAATGATTATCACATAGTTTATTTTCTCGTATGCATATTTTTTTAATATATATATTCATACATACATACATATATATATACCTTACTTTTGATTTGCTAATTTTGATATTTTTATGATTTATAAATAAACATTTGATAAGAAATCAAAATTTACACGAAATGAAAAAGAAAATTCTTAAATCATTTCTGTTGAGAAAACAGAATTCATCTGGTGATGTTACATTTATTGAGATGAACTTAATATGAACTTTAATCATATATGAATGCATATAAGTATCTATCTATCGATCTAATATCTCTCTCTCTCTCTCTCTCTCTATATATATATATATATATATATATATAGCTTTATATATATTTATATAGCTTTATATATATATATAGCTTTATATATATATATAAAATATGAATGGCTTTTGAATAGTTCTTGACCCAAACCACTTCCCAAACTCTGACTTTGGGATCATCATTAGAATTTCTTTTTAAATCACTTGGTAAGGCTGAGAACAGCACATGTGGGCATGTGAAATATTCTAATATTCTCAGTTGGTAAAAATTAATAAATCCAATCTGGCCTGTTGACTGTTTAGAGAGATATATACATAAAATATGTGAGTAGGTAATCAGACTTCACCAGAATGGAATAGATAGATAGATAAGTAGATAATCAACAGAAGATCAATCAATAGAAAAGATAAATGTGTCCACATATAGATCAATCATAGAAGAAAAAAGGTTAGATGGCTAGAGAGATATAGATCTGTTGGAACACAGTATAAAGACATACAGCTAGAGACATAAATAAGTATTGAGTGATTGATTGATTGATTAGCTGATTGATTGATATGCATACTCACCATACACAGATAGCCAATGAGATTTGGTAGATAGTTTGATAGGTAGATAACAATTGAATTTCATATAAAATAGTAATAGACTGATAGTAAATAAATCCAATCTAATTGAGATAGATACCACAATAGGAATTGTCAGATAGATAGATCAATGATTGCAGACAAATATAGCCCCCCCCCCATGGAATAGATAGAAAGGTAGATGAGAATGTGAGTAAATAAGGCAAGAGAAGTATCTTTGTATTGTGTGTCACCTGTATAAATGGTAGAAACATTTATTTATACTGTTGATGTTTTTACACACACATGTGCACACACACAGACACGTGTATATATATATATATATATATATACACACACACACACTATAAATTGGTACCTTTTAAAGCGACCAACACATATAAAGTCCATGTATGGACAAACAAAATATACATAAAAGATTCACATATTTATTTCAGTATGTATACAACTTCTATTTCTAATTTCACTTGCTTAACTTTCATTATAAATCTCTCTCTCTTCTCTCTCTCTCTCTCTCTCTCTCTCTCTCTCTCTCTCTCTCTCTCTCTCTCTCTCATTACTTTTGCTAGGTTTACAATGTCTCTATTACCTCCTACCCTTTCTATTTCTACACTCCCACTGTGTCTTTCCTCCTTTCTTATTGACCTCTATGTTCACATTCTCTCTTTGCTCTCTCTCTTTCTCTCCTTCTGTTTGTTTCTTTTTTCTATTGCACACCTCCTCCCCTTCTTCCTCACCCTCCTCCCTTCGGTTCATTTTATTTTATTTTTTTATGTCATTAGCCTCACAATTATCTGTCTTCACTTGGTGGCTGGCTGGCTGGTTAGTTGGTTGGTTGGCTGGTTGGTTGATTCTCTTTTTCCCTCTTCAAAGATAGGATAAGCAACTCACCTCTTCTTACTACCTATATTTACTATCTCACCTGACTTCTTTCTTTACCTTCTCACGTTTCTAGCTCATTGTTTGTTTCTGTGTATAACTGTGCCTATATATGTGTGTGTATGCGCACACACACACACACACACACACACACACACACACACAGACATTCACACATTATATATATATATATATATATATATATATATATTATGTATGTATAGACTCATGAACCATGTATGGAGTCACTTATGCTCTTACTAGACTTCTCTCTGTCTTCTCCATAGATAAAAAGACAAGCTAGAATGTAGGCTAATGTACAGAGACAGATAATGAAGTAGATAGATTGTTAGTTTGAATGGTAATTATGTGTATCTCAGATAGGTATAGATAAATAGAGAAGGCAAATTCCCATCTAGGAATTGGTGATGTCTCTCTGTTAGAGATACAAGATTTACTTTCAGTATGTGTATAAATATATGTTCAAGCAAGCATTGTATGTAAATATATAATATTTTCATAAATACTCAACCACATAAATAGAAACACATATATTTGTGTATATATGTTTCTGGATAGATAAAGTAATATGCCAATCTATCAGGTGAGTGGGGAAAGAGCTTACTTAATGTCTATTTAAATAAAAGTAAATAATATTTGATGCATACATAAAGAAAATAATGAATTAGAAAATTCATTAATGTCATCAGAATAAGGTTAAGAAATAAAATGCATATCAGTGGAATGGACCAAAATGCTAGGGAATTTGAGTAGCACATGTGAACCTTTCATTTGTGAGATCACTGTATACTTACCCAAGGGGGCTATATTGGAAATTATGTGTTGGGGTTATTTCTTAAATAATTTTTTTATGGCCAAATTTCCTGAACTTTAGTGTAAAACAAACAAACACACACAAGTAAAATTGAACAGGCAGAACTGAGTGAAATTAATATACACAGAAAGATACAAGGAGAAAAAGAGATATACTTACCTAAAATCAATTCTGGCATAAGATTGTGTTTTTTGTGCAACAAGAGAAAATCAAACTCACTCAGAATGGATTGTCAGAACAACATATTAATCATTGGAAAGAGAGAGAGAGAGAGGAGAGAGATTAAATGAGATATATATAAACAAATCTGGATGAAGGATTGAGAAGATTCTATATATATATATATATACAAATGTCAGACTCGGTTCTTATTTATTTTTATGTTAAGCAGTCTGATTCTTTCCTCTCTATCAGTATCACTACTTTATCCGTCTCTACTCTCACTTCTTAAGAAGTTTTATTTTTAATATATGTGCAAAATTAACTTTTTGCAGGTTTCATAGGTATCTATATGTATACCTATCTATAGAGATACTTAAATGTCTATATATGTGTATGAATGTAAAATGGATGTAATTGGTGAATTTGCATATGGATGGATAAGCAGGTGAATTTTAAACACTTGGAAATGCATATACATGCACACACACACACACACACACACACACACACACACACACACACACACACACATATATATATTCATTGAATATGACAGACAAGGTGCTTTGATTCAGTTTTTTATACAATTTATCATGCAATCTTATAATTTTTTTCTTTCCGAATTATAAATTATATAAAAACTGTCCAATTGTTTCTTCTGTCTGAGCGCTTTCAGATATGCTTTTAGCCATTTTCAAGGTTGAAATATATTAACTGTTAACAACAAATAGATTGTTTTATGTATATATTTATATAATGTTTTCATTTTTAAAACATGGTCAAGATATTGTGTCCATATTCATAGTTGATGTAATTAAACCAACACATAATGATATATATATATTATTTGCTAAATTTATGTGGGAAGAGTGGTCAATATTAATGTTTATATATAGAGACAGTGTGAACACAGAAATCAACACTGTCAATTCCAATGTCCACACTATCTCTCTCTCTCTCTCTCTCTCTCTCTCTCTATATATATATATATATATATATATATATATATATATATATATATATATATATATATATAAAACAAGATGTCTGTGTGTGTGTTTGTCTGTGTGTGTGTATATGATCTTTGTATATATTGACACTTCGGATCAATTTTGATGAAATTGACATACATGTTGTAAATTTACTAAGAATGGTCAAAACCAATTTTTCAATCTCTAGGCCCTCTGGGTTTGGCAGAAAAATTGATAAAACTGAAGGTGGTTACAACTGTTTGCAAAAACCAAAGCAAAGTTGCATGCAAACAAAATTTTTACTTGATGTGCTAATATTCTTTGCACTTAATGCAAACATAGGTTTGTGTAGAGTGTTTGTTAGTTTTCCTGTGACATTGCCTTCACACAAAAAACTGAAAATATTGTTTTCCATACTACTTAAAATAAAAACTTGAATAACTTCCTCATTTTTATCTGATTTTCTTCAAACATGTCACAAAAATTTGCAATCATGCAAGAAATAAGATAGTGTGGTTTTAGTCCTGCTCACTTCCCTGCATATAATGAAAAACAACTTCTTGTTAACCCCAGCTTTATAGTAAATGTGCGAAAAAGAAAGAAAGAATTGATTCATTTGCACTTGCAGCTGAATCAAACTCTGATGCTTAATCCCTATTTTTGTTTGATTATTAGATTTGTGAACAATTCCATACTATTTGAAAATTACTATGGTTATAAGAAATTTACTGAATATCTAAAACATTGAAACAATTTAATCCCGAGCAATGACCATACATAGGTTTTATCTTGCAATGATTTTAATTTGCCCACAGAGTCATCTTGATCCCAAAATGGTATGATATGTAGGACTACAGCTTCTAGGGGTAAAGTGGAAAAACTGTGATATACTGAAACACTGACATTGATATTTATTATATAGAAAGAGAGGAGCTATTAAGAATTGTGTCCCTTTAATTGAAAAAGTATGACACTGACATTGGCATTTATTATATAGATATATAAGAAATGTATTGAATCAAAAATATTTAATATATTTTCTGTTCATATGTTATTTTTTATGGATACACTTATTTAAGTAAATGCGCTGTTCTTTAATTAAACAGAATTAATTACATTTACTGGCCTGAATGTTTGAGAAATATTGTAGAAAATATACATTCTCAGGCAGGAATCGATCTTGCATCCTATGAGGAAACATCATTAAGCCTGGTGGGCTATAGCCATTCAGCTACAGAGAATTTCCAGTTAAGCAAAGCTCAAATTAATGCTTTTAAACATGCACTTTTGCTGATCTTTCTTGATCTATCATATCTGCTCTGATTTGGTATCTTAACGTAAACAATGACAATATATCATAGGAAATGGATTGAATCTGACAAATATTTAATATATTTTCCATTTATATGTTATTTTTATGGATATTTTTTATATTGTCATATATTATGACAAGATTATATTTACACCTGATGATTGCAAGAACTGCATGAAACTTTGAGTTGTGTTATCAACATTGAATATTATGTATATTCATAAATATATACATATAATATATATACATACACCGTACT